CATCGATCTCGCCATATCCTCCCCTACCATCTGAGCCGCCGCCATCGCTGCAATTCCCTAATTTCAATTCAATTTCCGTTCATCGAGGGAGGCACGGCGGTGGTTTCTGAGATCAGTGAATAGATGATGAAATTGATTGAACGAAAGGATTTGGAAATGTAATGGAAAATCAAATTTGAAGTTTTAAAGAGGAGAGACAGATGGCGGACGATATTAAACTAATCATGAAGTTGACTGGAAATTTTGCGACTAAGAAGATTCTTATAACGAGCAACCTATATATATAATATATAATATGACACACAGAAAAATAGAGGCGGACCGTCTCGTTAATTTGGATGTTATCTTTTTTGTTTATTAATGACACAAATATGAGAATTCTTATATCATTAAAAAAAAATAGAATTCATATTAGACACAGTCAAATGAACATAGCCCGACAGTGATTAACATATATCTCGAAGTGTGGGTTCGATCTCTCATCTCCATATATTATACTAAAAAAATAATATATAAAATCTTATTTTTGCAATTTTGCTATTAGTGACACGGAACCAATTAATTTTCTCTTTAACGAATAGACTCATTTATTTCAACAAATTTAAGATCCACTCTTGCCCGAAGGCATAAAAAAAAGTGAACTGCTTATTGAAAATAGTACATTTTGTGCACCACTTTCTTCATCCATTAAGTGTTTGACTTTCTAGAATAAAAGATAAATCAAATAAATAAAAAAAAGTTATAGTATATCTAACCCATTCTTATTATGAATAACTATTTCATTTTATTATTATATTTGTTTGGATTTCAATTAGCGCCATGAATCAAACATTGTCATAGTATTAATTATATTTAAAAAAAAAAGGAAACCCCATATTTTTAAACAAATAATTTATGCACCTTCTAGAAAGGGGATCAAATTAATTAAACCGGAAAGACAATAGACCAAGCCATAAGCTATCTCTTACATACATTGGGAGCAAATGCAGCCTTATTTATAGATTAAGCAAATAATTCCATATTAATAATTGTCACTTTCTTTTGAATTACTCTAGAGATTGTCAAATTGATTTCCTAATCTTCTAATTAATATATTAAGGGTATATATATTTGCGTTAAAGTTTAACTAATTTCCATGTGATGAAAGGGATAAAATGGCAGAAATAGCATCTCCATAGCTATTATCTTGAGAAAATAGATTCGACCAGTTGGTGGAAATACTTTCGATGGAAGAAGTAATAATTAATAGAAATAATCATTTGAAGTGCAATTTGCTATGTAAAACTAAGGAAGTGGATACCTTGTTGGAATATTAATGTACTTTCACACTCTCTTTCTAAATTCTACTACTCATTCATAATGACAAAAATTTTGTAGAGAATACCTCATGATTTTGTGGTTGATTTGACCTAAAATTAAAGTCGGAATGCTGATGGATCGCGTTGGTCTTCACTCATATATCTATGATTTTCTTCTTTCTTAATCAATATGTGACTTTGATTGCAATTACAACACATTGGATGTATATTTTCAATATCAATCACGTATAATATCTAATTTGGTTGGCTACCACAAGGAGAGGTTTTGCATGACATCTACTTCCTAAAGTGCCTTGAGCTTATAATTTTAAGTTCTAAACAAGATAACTTAAGTCAAATTAATTGGTGGGTTAAGTTATTGGAAAGAAAGTTTGTATGGCGCAAAATTTGATGTGAAGAGATTGGTTAGAGAAATAATGTATTCCAAAAAAGAAAGGATAATTATAGTTCCCTGGAAATGGTGCAATGGTAAATCACATATTTAAGGTCTAAAGATCACGAACTAGCATTAGAAAATAATAATAAATAATTAAATAAATAGTTAGAAAATTTGAATGTGTTAGACCAAATTAGAAAAAAATAATAATAATAATGGAGCATGGGAGCAGATAATTAGAGATATAACACGTCTAGAGAGCAACTAGCATGAAAAATATGACCAAAATAAAACTAGAAACTTAAAAAAAAAAAAACATTTAAAAGATAATAATAATAAGTTGGGACGAAAACCATATTGAAACCTTACCTAAAATTGACGCTATTGAAAATTTGATTTAAAACGATAGTTTAATATAACTGATCATTTAATGGGGCTGCCTCAACTCAACTTTAGGAGTTGATTGCAATAATATATTAATAAGAGAAAAGAGAATTAATAATTTTGATAAATTAAAAGGCAAACTACAGAAATTTTGACTATTTTAGAGGGTATAAAATGTTAGTATGACCAAGTCAGAGATTGGACGTGAGGACAGTGGGAATTGTCCTATTTGTGAAAATTTCAAACTTTGACTTCTTAAATAATTTAATTTTGGTAAATTCAATGATTACAACAAATGTGGTACAATAAAAAAATCAAATTAGATTAGCGGTGTATATCAGGAGTTTTTTTTAATTAAATTTTTTTAAACTACTAAAACTTACGTGTAAGTGATCTAGAAATTATTATTTAAGTACCATTGATTTAAAAGAAAAGGTTATTAAATCTTCCATTTCATTTCAAAGTATTATAAGATAGAGCTTAGAGAAATAACTAAACGAATGTTTATAATTTAATACCATGTAAACAAATTTTTACTATAAATCTAATCTATCTTTGTGATTGTATTTTCATAGAGTTCTACATGATTTCAAAAGTAATTGTTTTAGTCTTTTTATTTATTTTTCTATCTCAGATCACCATTTCAACACAATATTTCCGTTTAATAAAAATTGCTTGATATATTGTATTATAGTTTTATATTAAAGGTTTTCATTATATATAAAATTTGTTTGAGATTTGTAAACAAGAATCAAAACCATCCCTTGTTTTAAAAGGATTAAAATTGATCAAAAGTTAAAAAGTAAATAATCCAAAATATGATTTAAAGCACGAAAATATTAGAATAAAAAATAGCTATCAGATAATATGGAAGGGAAAAAAAGTTAAATTCCTATTATTATGAACTTTCCATACAAATTACGGACCAAAAACAGCTCCCAAGTATCCAAAATTGGTGGCAAAAAAAGATTTTTATTTTTCTAATGTGATTATAATTATTATTAAAAAAAATAAAGAAGAAGAAGAAGAAGATGTTTTGACTAGAAAATATGGTGGATTAAAAGAGACAATGATGTGGAAAGGCACTATACTTTAGGAGAAGAGTGTTGTCAGATTTCTCTTGAAGATTAGGCATCTTTTTTTGCTCTTAATTATCATAGAGTTGAATAAATGCATCAAGTTATTTGGTTAATTTGAGAAAACAAAATTACAAAAGACTGTTGAATTACAAACTAAAGTAACAAAGGCCGGCAGCTTAGATCATATGGCGCACTGAACCTTATGTAGTTTTTGCCGTATTATTAAATTTCAGGCAACAAATTACAAACTGACGCCAAAAAAAAAAAAAAAAGAAACAATTTAGCTTCTAAAAACGCTATTATTTTAGTGCTGATCTTACCGAGTCTAAGATAAGGACTTAATACTCTATTTAATTAAGGTTTTTTTCAAACATTTTCTTGTAGTCGGAATAAAGTTTAGAAGAGAAAGGGATAGAAGAAGAAATTTTTTCGAAAACAATGAGAAAAAAAAATGATTTGAATACTTATATATTCGAAGGAATGTTGGTTTGAAGTTTTCCCAGCGGATCGTTTTGGAATTTTCGATGGAATATTGTGCTAATTAAAACTAGAATAATCATGGTAATACAACATACATAATTTTTTTTGAAACAATGCTAAAAGAAAGAGCAGTAAGCATTGGGATTTTTGTTTTGTTTGGGTCAGAATATTGAATATTTGATTTTTTTTCTTTTTTAATTTCAGTTTTATCCCCAAACTAAATAGTTAACAATAATTGTCTGGTGCTTTCTTTCATGGACACAACATTCGTAGACCTATTCATATGATGAATCCTATCTAAGCAAGCTTGAGAAATCCTTTTTTTTTTTTTTTTAGAAGTAAAAAATACAAAACAATTGCAAAGCCAGTCCAAGTTCAAGAGACCCACGTTTTCAAATTTGATAAATTTACAATTTTTTTCCTTATCTAAATGAGGATATCATAAAAAAATTCTTATTAGAAAAACTTAGAACTAAATTTAATTTGGTGACAATGAAAAGGAAAAAGAATAAACATCTTTTTTACTCCGCAGAAAGGAAATTTGATTTGCAATTCTCTCTCAAAGTAATCAGAACCGATTTGCAATTCTTTTCAAAGGAAAAAAAATTGTACATATTTCCTGTTAAAATTATCATCTACAATAGTTAATGATTTTATCCTGAAAAGAAAACCTTAATTTCAAACTCTAAACAGGATTTGGATTGCCCAATATCAACAAACAACCATGTACACCTTAATTAACTGCTTAAATTGTTATCTAACTAAAATAATAATAATAAAGTTGGAAAAAAGTCAATCTAAATAGTTTGAACCAGATTTTACCATACCATACCATCTATAACAAAACTACAGTGATTCACAATAAAGCGATCCATTTGTTGACGCAAGAAAAATTTGCTTTCTTCCTATGTCACAACACAATCATGCCCAAGGGAAAATAAATATTTATATGAACCTGTCTTTCCCAGATAATGGCAACTCAATGCGTATGAACAGAGTAAGTACATAGTGAAAAAGTTACAATTAGAGCTTACAGCTCAAGAGTACGAAGAGTCTCAAAGCTGTCTGTAGTTATATGATTAGAGAGACAAACTGCCAGGGAGAAGATATCAATCTCCACTTGCACAGCCCCTGCAACCACAATGCACACACTCGATAACCTTCTCCTCCCTCAGATGCTTGGGAACCCGGCACACGCATGTTGTCGCAAAGTTATGATCTCGGGGTTGCATGCATCTTAGGCAACACAAACGTTCATAACCAGGCTGCACAACAGAGGCTGTTAAGTAAACTAGGATTGAGCACTTTCAAGGAAAGAAAGAGTTGCAAGCCTTCAACAGTAAACTCAAGGCAGAAACATATGTGATTTAAGATTTATGCCTCCCATGTAAAAATTTGAAAAGGCGATTATATCACCCACAGGTACATATTAATTAGACTATGGTATTGGAAATCGGTTGATTAAAAAGCATAAAACTATTGACTCTGTACATTTATCCTAACCCTTACTTTTAAAAAAAGGCACCTAGTAGCAGTGCTGTGTGCCTTGTTTTTTCTCTGTACTACCCTCTACTTTTATCAACTAAGGGAAAAATGCACTTGTTTTCTTAAATTTTTAACAAGGATGCCTATTGCCAATCCCAGCATAGTGGATAAAGTTGAAGGTTCAATCCCCCACCACCCTACATTCATTAAACTCAAAAAAGAAATGCCAACTTCCTTGAATAGTTTCTTAAACAAAGTTGTTTCTTAAAATTTTTTTAGTATCCTGTAGTTCATAATACTATTTTAAAATTGTCTCCATATCATATGCCACAAGAAAAAAATTATGCACTCTATTCCGCATCTCCCACAGTCCCACTAACACTCTAGATGGCTATTGCACATAAATGCATTTTCCAACTAGAAAAGCAATGATCTGTCTAATTTATTTGCAACATTTCTTCCCAAAATTTAGGTTTAAATGATGTTTGGTTGCTTCATCCTTATTCTGTTTACACTTTTAAAGAGTATGATTAGTCCCTTCAACCTCTGATTTAGTCTTTCAAATAACTATTTCTCTTCATAGTTTAGATATCATTAGTCATTAAATGGAAATCTTGATCCATTTCAAAACTTGATACCAAACCCACTATATGTGACCTTTTCTTTACATAAGAGACCAACCAATTTCATCCACTAAAGGTGATCCAAATCTTTCAATGTAGACATCAACTCTCAAACGGAATAAGTAGAAAATACTCGGGGCCACATTTCAATATCACTTTGAAGGGGCACAATGCGGCAACTACTAAGAACCAAATAACATAAGAGAGACAGAAATAAACCTTCTTCCATTTTGCAATTAAGTTACGATCTGCATAGCCTTGGTCCAAACAGAATTCAAATAATTCCTTGGATATCTCCTTCCTTCGATGATAGAGGTCAAAGATATAGCGGCTTTTCTGATGCGCTATTTTGAATATAGGCCACAACGTCTCGCATTTTCTCTTACCATCATGTGGGTCATTCTCGGCTGCAATCATCAAAAGTAAAACGCATAAGAAAAAGTAAACCAACAACATCAGAGTCATAAATCGCAGTGAATAGAATCGAAAAAAAAGTATTAACAAAGATATAGTAATGCAAGGTAGAGCGAACCTTCTCTCATCTTAGCTTGCAGTTCTCGGAGAGTTGGTTCGATTAACTCCCATCCCTCCGGGTACTTGACACGGTTCGTCTTAATCTTAGGCATTTTCGTCTGTTGGTAATAGAACACAACAATTAAGTTTAAAATTCTTCTGAACAAAGGAAACAAATGAAAGCATGAAAATCAAGTACAGCAAAAACAGATGCACTAAGATTGAAACTCGGATGAGAACTCTTCTCGAACTCCCTTGCCCAGCTTATACTTCATTCATACTCTATCTTGTTCCCACACAACCCAGAAAGCGAAAAACCCTAAGATAACGGAGCCGGACAAAACAGAAGGGAGGTACCTCGAAGAAATCCTCGTTGGCGGGTGATTGAAGAGTCGGCAGGCGAGATCCAGAAGAATATTAAGCCGTGAGAAAGCGAAGAGACAAAAAGAGCGGATTGGGACTGAGCGAAATTCAAAAACTAAGCTTGAGAGAACAGAGATCAAACCTAGGGCAAGGAAAGCTCGAGAAGGTTTCAGATCTAAAATGGGGGAAGGCGGCGCTCGAGGGAATAACAAATATTTGGATTTTTCTTTTAGTCCCTACACAGTTGTTTTTTAATTTAATCCTTATTATCCAAATATTTTCAATTTCATTTTTTTAATAAAATTTTCCATCTTATTAATTCAAAGACAAAAATTTAGCAAATTAAATAGGGAGCCATTTAAAGTGACGAAAAATTCTAATTCGTGATCTAAATTTTTAACAAGTTGGAGGAAATTTCTACTTTTTTCAAAGTGTCATATTATTTTTTTTTTCTTTTTTAAAATAGGTCCACATCATTACTTATTTTTGTTCATACATACAATTTAAAAACCATACTTTTTTTTTCTTTTTGTAGACCATCAATTTTAAGGATAATAAAAGATGCCTTATCCATTTAATTCCGGATTGGTTCCATGTTAAACATTTCAATATTAAAAATGAGATAGCCTTACAAGTGAAAGTAAATGATGGACTTTTTTCTGGCTTTAGTGGAGGACGAGGGCCTGGAGCATGTAGAGCTCGGATCCTGTTTCAATGGCTACGAGGGAAGTACAGCAGAATGTTGCCAAAGAGGTAACTATTTCCATTTACTGGAAGGGAAAGGTTCTGTAATCCGAAAGCTCCTTTTGGGTAACTCATTTTTCTCGTATCAAATTGATACATAATATTGAACTCGAGACCTCTCGTGCCATGAAAATGGCAAAAGCCTTAATACGATATTCTCGACCACATTTACATTATACGCTACAATATTAATTACAGCAAGGACAAGAAGGAGAAGATGTTGGAATACAAAGGCCAATATCTAACTTGGCGTCGTCTCTGATGGATTTCTTTTCTGCTAAAACAATTCAAACTCCAGGTGTTCTCCAGTGGACTTGCTTTCCAAATACCTGAACTTGTTTTGTTGAGCAATCATGCTTGGAATGTCCATATCACATAAGTCTGGAAGTTCTGGAGGAATTGCACAACGGATCAATGCCCAGTTTAGCCCCTCGAAAAATGGATGCTGCTTGATCTCGGCTGCCCCTTTCTCTGACCCGAATCGGTTCTCGGGTTCCTTTACCAACAGACCTCGGATAAGATCCCTTGCTTGGAAACTAACAAATGGACTGTCCGGGAAACTAAGGCCCTGCATTATCACATTGGCCAGTGTTTCTTCATTGTTGGAACCCTTGAAAGGGGTTCGGCCATATAGAAGCTCGTAGAGAAAGACACCGAATGTCCACCAATCAACTGCAGCTCCATGACCCTCCCCTTTAATGATCTCGGGAGCCAAATATTCATGAGTCCCAACGAAGGAATTGGATCGTGCATCGGTGGGTTCAGCAACGAGCTGTGGCAATGACCTGACCTGTGTTGCAAGGTCGGGTTTGGACTTCCTTGTCTTGGGGGCAGCAGGTAAGAATCTTGGGCTGAAGCATGGAACTTGACATGATGGTTCAATACAAAACGGCTCGGCACAACTAGAATCTGTACATGGACCTGATGTCTTCACTGAGCCTGCATTGAAGGATGCTGACTTCAGAAGTGTTGGACTGACTGTGCACCTAAGCGATAGGTCAAAGTCGGTAAGCATAATGTGACCGTCTTCCCTGACAAGAATGTTTTCAGGTTTTAAATCTCGATAAATAACTCCAAGCATGTGCAAGTACTCCAAAGCAAGGAGAACTTCAGCAACATAAAATCTGCAAATAGTATAGAAGAGCAATTAGACAAAAAGATATCTATGATAAATGCATAGCTGGGCGTGATAATGATAGAAGAATAGATAAACGCATAATAAGATTTGCCCTGTGAACACATATATAGCTTAGGAATCCAGTTGAATTACAGCAAGCCTTATGAGTATGAAAAAGCTCATACGGCTTCCAAGCTGATATTCGACAATAATCGACCTCTATTGCCAAGAACTGCTATTGACAAGCTGGAGACACTAATGATGGCATTAGAGGGAGTAGAGACTCCTTTATAAATTATAGTGATGTACAAATACGCATTGCATGTATAATAGTAAATGGAAGACAAGTTGGAGGTGTCGCTTAATGAAGTTGGCATCCTAATTGGTAATTTCTGTGACTATGGAATGAACTAATATTTCCTGCAAGAGACTATATATCAATTTATCAAAGCAACTTGAACTAGCATGTCTGCTTTGTGCTTTACATAACTTGTGGTAGTACCATTGAATGGAGAGAAAGATGAAGAGTTCGCGAGTTAGAAAAGCAAACAAATATGTGATGTATGCGCTTGTTGCCACATGTTCGTAACAGAATATCAATACCCTACTGGCTACTGGTTGTAATAAACCTTATTCAGTGATCAATCATCAATGTGAAAAAGATCATATTCCAGATTAGCTTAAAAAATGTGAAAAGGATCGTAAAAGTATGTAATAAGCATATATGGATAGTGTTATCCTCAAATTTACGTTCTGTGCTTTTTGTGTCTGATCGATGTCAGCAAACAACATGCAGAAACTGAAATAAACTAGAATATAATTTTACCTTGCAGCAGGTTCAGGAAAGACTCTGCCTAGCTGCTTCTGCCGCAGAACATGAAGATCTCCTCCAGGACAATACTCCATAACAAGACATGATAGATTATCTGAAGTAAATTGAACATAAAGTGTTGGGAGGAATGGATGATCCAGCATTCTAAGTATTTCTCTCTCGGTTTGCGCTCTGGGCATTTTCTTCCTTCTTGCTAGAAACTCATTGTCCATGACCTTAATGGCAAATAAGCAATTAGTGCCAGTTAACTCGGCAAGATACACAGTTCCAATGTCCCCGCAACCAAGTTTCTTTAAAAGATTGAAATGCCGCAAGCTGAGGATCCCATGCTGCATTTGTGAATGGCGTATGGCTTCCCACCTAACATCTTTTGACATGTGAGGTCTGCTACCGTTACTGGATCCATGCCCATTGCTGTCATCACTTATAATACTCGTTGTACTGCTACTGTAATCACCTTGGCTACTTTTTGAGCTTTGAGAAAATTCACCCTTATCTCGTACCTTTGTGTTCCTTTTAACTCTAACATCAGAAGCCTTGCCATCCACCGCGATGCCCGATTTGTTAGCACCAGATTTTGAATTAGTCACGTTCACATCAGTACTAAGACCAGCAAACTGTGAAGCAGAACCCTTCTTTGAGTCTTTAGTTGCACTATTCAATGCACAGTGGCATCTCTCACATATTAACGTCTTTTTACTAGGATCCATATCACCATTGACTGCATTGTATGTGCTTGAACTACATGTTGGAGAACTCAAATCCTGTTTGACTTTCTTCTTGGCCAACCCCTTATTCCTAATAACCGGTTTCACAGAACGGGAGGTACTTCTAGATAACTTGCCTACCTTATTGCCATTAACCAACTTAGATGAAGATGCAGTGTGCAGCCTGCCTTTCCGTCCTGGCTTTGATGATGACGCTTTATTTGCTACCCTGCTTGAGGCAAGAATTTTCTTCTCCTTCTCTAAAACCTTGCCAATAGTGCAAGAAGATATAGATGGAGGAGTTGTGGACTCCTCTTCCTTTTCCAGCTCTGCCTTCAATGTTTGAGATCCAACTTTCCTTGACAACGTCGTGGAAACTGGTAACTGAGGAGTTTGTGTATTCACATTTTGTTCCACAGCAACAACCTCAATAGAAGTTTGTGTTTCCGTAACTGGTAACTGAGGAGAACAATCAGCACTTTCGGCGGACAATTCAACAGAGGATGCCTGAACATGCCCAAGACTCTTCCCTAAGTTGAACTTCTTTTCCTCTGGAACCAGGGATATTTCAACCACACTCCCCTTACCGTTGTTCGAAGAAGAGCCTGATTGAGTGGCTTCAACCATAACTGAATTGTACAATGTCTTGATCCGTCCAGCTTCTGAGATTCTTGAAGAGCTAGCTGATTTTGATGATCTTTTCATCACAGCCATTTCAGATGCCTTTGAAAGGCATAAGTCCCTGAGTGCTTGCTTAAGACTACCAGTATCAGAAGTCCCAATACCTGGTGAACGAGGCATGCCAACAGTAATTGGCTTCTTTAGGGTACTTTTTCTTAGTGCACTTGCCTCTACTTGCGAATGACCCAAACTCTTGGATGAATTTTTAATATTAATTGACTCAAAAAGCTGATTGATATCATCCTCTAGAGATCCCTTGAATCCAATTTTCAGAGCAGAAAGTTTCCGATCTCTGTCATTTGATACAAACTCTGAGTGACGAGATCCTACCTTAGTTTGAACCGGGTTAATTTCTTCCCTTGCTTCAACAATTTCACAAGTACCAGATCCCATTACTACCTTTGCTCGCTATACAAAAGCCCTTAGATAGTGGCTCCGCAGAGCTTAGCAATTCTGTTGTTATCTTGATCCACAATGCTAATCCATTTCTGACATTGCAATTTAGATACAAAGGATTTTAAAATCTGGGAACCGAACTCTCACACTCTTAAGCTATCCTTTGCATGATAAGAACATTGACTATTCACTTTTCCACTTGCCATAAGCTGCAACATTCAGAACATGAAATCATCAGAAAAGATTCAAGATACATATAAGACAAGCCTACAGTCCAACAGTCTAACCCAAATGGGTATCTCTCATCAAGGTTTTCTTTATCATTGTTTTTGTCATATTCAGAAACAGCACAAATTAATTAGCCATGTAAACGTTTAATGTCGTTGTCATAAACAAGACATATGCAAGTATGATGACTTCCTAAACTACTAATTTGAAGAATGTTGAAAGTACACAAAACAAACCATCGTTGTTAGCAGTTATCCCTGTCATCCCAATGGTTAAAGAGAACCCAAAGTATTTGGAAGGAGAAACTAGAAAGACACTCAAACAGAAAACTTGAACATGTCAAGTGTCATAAAGTAAGCATACACCAACAAATGATAAATCCCAAAGGAAACATGAAACGATAAGAGATAACGGAAGTACAAATTACTGCAGATTCGATAATGATTAGCATCTATTATTTCCACACATCACATGCCCAAACAGTCACTGGGATCATTCAAGTAACGGTTGAGAAGCACTAATAAAGAAGCTCGAGATTCAGAAACATCAAGGAGTTCCAACAACACATAACCAAAGCGAAATCGGTTACAGAAACCACCGGATCGAAGAAACCACAGACCCGTCGTTCCAACTTCAACCCGCCAAAACCCCATCAACGATTCACAGGCAGAACTAAGATTCAACAACTAAATCATTCTACTTCGGAAGATACACTAGAATGGATAGAAGGAAAATGGGATTGGACGAAAATCACGAAAGAAACAGGAAAACTCAGAATCCCGGAGCCGAGCTACAAAACAGAGCTTAAACAGCGAAACGCAGAAAGAAGTGGGCTTTGGCGGGGAATCGAAATCAAAATGGAAAATGCGGAAAAGGGTGCGGAGGAAAGTGAGATCAGAGCATTACCTGATGAGAAATGAGGTGTAAGGGCGCAATGGGGTTGACAGATTGTGAAGAATGCCAAAGAGATCAACGCGTAAACACTTGGGAAAACCTAGTTTGGGGTCCCAAGCACAGGCGCAAGCCAAGCGGTGGGCGGAGAGGAGAGCGAAAGATGAAGGAGAGAGAGAGAGAGAGAGTAAAATAGTATCTTTCTCTTCAGAATTCTGAAACTGGCTCTGATTATTTAGGAGAGACGAGGCCCCACTTTGGCAGCTTATGAGCAGTGGGTTTAATGGAAGAGAAGAGAGAATCAGAGAGAGATAATAAATCTGACTTTCCATAATAATAATAAATATTAAATGTCAAAAAGCTAAGCTCTCTCTACTCTAAACAAATTGCCAAAACTAAATGAAATTAAAATCATGAATTCATAAGCTCACTTTTTGAGACAATAAAATACAAATCAATCAAATTACAGATAATGAATTTAGAAAATCCATTTTAAAATTGAACTCTTTTCTCTCGGTTTTTCCAAGTAAGATTTTAAACATAATATAAGCAAAACATATGATATTATTTTGTGCGTATTTGTTCAATAATATAAGTTGACTTCTTTTCAAAATTGTGATGCTATTGCTAGCCCTCTTTATATAATATTGTTAGTATGTTTGAAATTGCATGTGAGAATAGTAATATTTAAATAAAATATTTAGAATTATGGGGAAATTAATTTTGAGACAGGCTTGATTACCTAATCAAAAGTGAGATTTTTTTTTTCTTGATTCAAAGTGAGTCTTTGCAAGAAATTTTAAAACCTCTGCATATACCATAATTTTAACATATAGAAATTATGTAGTTCTTAAAGATTATCTCAAAAAACAGTGCCTAATATTGAATTGAATACCTTTTTTTTTTGGGTTCTAAATTAGGTGTAATGCTAGTGGCAACTAAAAGGCCAGGTTTTATCCCTTTTGATAGCCACTCAGGTTCAGCCAAACAGCTCAAAAAGAAGACAAAATAAAATGGTACCTAGTAATGTCATGTGCTCCATCCATTATTAGAGACATCAAAATGCAAATACTAAAGGGTAAATCTAAATAATGTAATTGTTAGAAAGAAGAAAAAAAAAAAAGAAACAGATGCTTTTATTTTCTTCTTTCTTTTTATGAAAACTACTGGAGAGAATGTTGTTGTCTGGATACGTATGTTTTGAGGAACAGTTTGTTTGGGCAATTCTACAAGTAATTTAGAAATCGTTTTACAAATTTGTGTTTAAAAACTCGCTTCTACACTCTTATTATTACCCACGCTCGCAAAAGTAGCAAAAAATTAATACAAATTTGTGACCGCAAATATATCAATGATATACTCGATATGAATGTTGATATACGTAAAAATTTTGAAGAGTAAAATCAGAATAAGAAAAAAATACAGAAAATCAAATTTCATATATTTTGCCATATCTATGAAACCCCAGAAGTTCCTTTTTTTTTAAGTAATATAAAACCTTAAAAAGTTGTTACTATATCTGTGCAATATTTTAGTACCCTATAAAAAATTCCTTTAATTATTTTCTTAATCCTATTCACGTACCTCTCAATTCAAACAAGTTTTTTTTATTAAAGGAAAAAAAATCCACTATCCAAATTCCTTCTACTTAAAGAAAACAAAATTTCATTTTAAAATTCAAGAGTAGCTTTCAACATCACTATCAAAAAAATCACATCTGATAATGTTTTAATGAGAGAAAAATACTAATCTGTACTCAATCTAGATGTGCCAAGAGGATATGGCATAATCAAATGGGTTCATCTGGGATTGAAGTTTAATATTTAAACAATATTTTATACTTTTATTAAATTACAAAATTTGGTGCTAAAGTTAATTTCAGTATAATTTTAAAAGTTTCAATGGATTGATTTTAGTTAAGATTTAAAAAGTTTCGACTTAATCTTTATAGTTAGTCCAATGAAACCTCATAAATCATTCTTTTTTTTGTTTAGAAACTCATAAATCATCCTTGTAAATTGAAAATGTGTCACATGTAATAGGGTAAATGAGAGAAAGAATTTGCGAGATTTGACTAAATCATGAGAGACCAAATTGAAATTATATTCAAACCATAATAACAAAATTAAAACTTTAGAAATCACATTGACCAAATTGAAAATCAACTTAAATTACACCAATCAACTTTATAATTAATTTAACCTTCTAAAATAGAGCAGTGAAATGGAAGCTTTTGAAAACATAAATTTGAAAATAATGGATTTAATGAAAACTAGAATTATGTTTTATATTTTCAGTGTTTTTAAATATGTATTTGGTAGCATATTTGGAAATTGAACCTCAATTTAAAAATTGTTCAGTATATTATTTTTAGTAATATATTTGTAAAATAAGGATAGTGACCAACTAAATATTTAACCCAATCTAAAATATTATTAATTAATTTATCAATATATATTATAAATTTATAATATATTACCTTTTACGTATTTAACCATAAAAAATGAAATCATAATATGAAATAGTATATTTATAAAAAGATTTACGCCTTTAACGGATCACCTACATTCAATCTCGACTCTACTTCAATAATTCTAAAATTTAAAATTGTTAAAAAATTTTAATTTAGAATTAAAATATAAGAAACAGAATTCGAAGTCTCTGTCAAATTACTACGTCCGGGTCTATTTACAAACATAAAAATGTCATTTTTTTCATGGCTACTACAGCTACCCTCATGAAAAATTGTGCCATAAAACAGTCACGAGAGGAAAATAAAACAGTAAAAAAAAAAGGTTAAAAAAGGAGGGTTTTAAATAATTGTCGTATAGTGTTTGAGGTAAGAGAAAATTTGAAGCCTGACCTGACCCTCATTCCCAATCCCACCTGCCTCAATATTTTTGGCCTAATTAGATTTAATTATATGCGTATTTTTTTTATTTCTTTTTTTCTCCAAGTCTATCATCATATATTTTATTGTACGCCTCACATGGTTGTTGTCTCTTGGGGCCTAACTTCTTTTTCTTTTCATTTTTGTCAAATATATGTAAGTTTGGAACTTGTATACTTATTCCATTCCAAAAAAATAATCCAATCAAGCTTTGAATATAAATACATACTTTTAAATTTTATTTTTTTAGTATGGGATGATAATTCGAAGTTACGACATTTTAGTTGAAAACAGATGTCTTAATCCGTTGAACTATATTCAAGTTTGACTTTTTAAAATTTCATTATTTTGAAGAAATTATATGTAGTATATTTTTATTATTTTTATTAATTGATTAATCACTAATTATATTCAGATATTCAATTTCTATAATTTTATTTTATTTTTGTATTATTGTAATTCACTCATCAAAGTTTGTAGGCTTTTTCAATTGGCTATTATGTAATATATTTGTTTCTTATTTTGTAGGCTTTTTCATTTATGTTTCCCTACACGAAAACATAGAAGTTATATGATTTTTTTGTCTTCTTTTGCTATAATTGATAAGAAATCATTTTAAGTGTCAAGGAACTCATCAAAGGGCTAAAAGCCTAAGAGTGGGGTTTTTATATTTTTAATAGTAAAATTTATTAGGCTTTAATGAGTAGATTGCTATTTTCATTTAAAAAATAAAAATAAAAACTTCAGTTTTTTTTTTAAGTGGTTAAAAAGCCCTAAAGAGTAGAAAAAATTATATCAAAATAAAAATAAAATTTGATAAAGCCCCAACCATACAAAAAACAGAATGAAAAAATCCTGAAAAATGTGAGAGTTGAAATGGCTACCTCAAGACTTTTTGCAGAAGTTTTAGAGGGGTGATCAAATAATAATATTATTATTATTATAACTATTATTTAGAATATATAAATACACGAGGATTTGAAATCTAAGGACTTTTTTGGTAATGTTTTTTTTGTCGTTTCCAATTTTCTTAACAAATCTAAGCATTTACAATTAACTTTCTTTATTGTTTATCGTTTTTTTTTTTGAAACATTCTCTTAGTTGTATAGAAATTTTAGAAACAACCTAAACAAGTTTTTCTTTCTTGTTCTTATTTTCAATTTGTTCCAAAACATAAATGAAAAAGGTTGTTTTATTACGATTGGAGGTTGGAACCATGCAATACATTTTTCTTCATTAAAAATAAAGAAACAAAAACAAAAAACAGGAATGTTAATCATAAGTTATGTATTTCCTATTTCTTGTTTCTTTTTTTTTAACAAAAAAAATATATAATTGATTTGGTTTTTTTCACTTTTTTATTTTTAAGAAGGAAACTTGATTTTGTTGGGAATGAGAACAAGAAACATTAAACTTATATATAATTTTTGGGATATTTCTAAAGAAAAGAAGAAACAAG